CAGCCATACTGGCGCGTATTTCCTTTGAACCACAGGACAAGCCTTAAAAAAAAGTTTGGCATTTTTCCCCGTTCATCTAACAGGTAGCAGTTTAGCTATTTCACTACCGAAATATTTTGTGACCACCACTTTGTTCTGATAAGCTAGAAGGAAATTACCTGTTTTAATCTGTTCTAAAGAATATATGATGTACAGCATGCTACGTTTACCACTTTTTAAACAAGCCTTCCCTCTGTCAACAGTCACCACCATATACTGCAATGGGACAGCAAAGCTACTACCAGCAAAATACTAATTTAAAAGGCTCCTTTTACTTGTTCCACATGGGCCAATTTCCATGCCTGCGCTCTTTCCCCAATTCAGGCTGTGAGGTGGCAGCAGCAAGGGCAAAGAAACAACTTCAGGCAGGTAAAGATCACTGACTGCCTTCCTAATTAAAGCTGAGCTTCCAAATATTTGAGAGAGAGAAATTTAAGCTTCAGGTTTTACAGTACGGATGTGATGATTCTCTAGGCTGAAGGGGTCAGGACAAAATGCATGTATTGCACCACGCGCTGCTCACTAGGGCTTAGGCAAGAGAGAGGCAGGATGTCTGTCTGTACAGGTTTCAGTAAATTCACACCTGTGCTGTTTTGCAGAACATCCCAGTAACAGCGTTCTACGCTAAACAGAATGGCTTTCCCTAACGTTCTGCAGAAAGAAGGTGGACTTTTTCTTCTCCTCTCAGCCACCACCACCTCCTCCTCCTCCCATATATAGGTACTGATTTAAGTTTGTCAGATATCAGCTTTACAGGTTTTATAAGTATCTTCATAGCAAATTAATTGTGAATATACACTTAGTGGAAGCAAATTAAGTGATCACATACAATAATAATTTAAACATTACATTTAGAGAAGTAAAAAAAAAACACAGGACTTCTGCATTAAGCTTTTGAAGATATTTCAAAATAGTTTTGGTAACTTGTATGAGAACTATAGTCAGTTTAACTTCTCCCACCGCTGTACCCAGTTCCATTGTACTTTCTATGGATAAACACATTGTCTGTCACAGGATCAAAGAACTGAGACGTGAATGGAAAAATTCAATACTGAATAATTTTTCCAGTCTCCCAGAGGTACTTTATTGTTCTCTATGGGATGCTTTCCAGTGCTTTGTATAGCCTGCTTTAAAAATTCACTGGCAAAAGTCTTTACTCTTTGTACTTCTACACATCATTGGATCTTATCCGTCAGGAAGTCTCAAGTGCTTGTCTACGCATTCCAGAACTATAGCAGAACAGATTAAGAGATAAAAACAAAAGAACTTATTATAGAGTAACACTCTCCGCTTTGCTGGAAAAATGTTTTATACTGACAACCTAATCCAAAAAGTTAAAGTAATTATATTGGAATTAGAAGCGACTTGGTTTTAAGACCACAAGAGGGAGTTTTCCTATTTAACTACAGCAAAATAGCTTCTTCTTTACTGCTATGTCTATCCATTCTCTTCAATGGACAAGCCCTAGAGCTCCAGCTTCCTAATTTGAGCTAATAACAACATGAAAGTGTCATTGTTAAATTGCTTAAAGATACAGACACCATGAAGGCTGCAGATAGCTAGATTCCACTGTTAGGCAGCTGTTGGAGTTAACAAACACCAAAAAACCCAAAACTTCATGCCACTGTCATGCAGTTTTATTTTACTAAAATCTGCATTTGTATTAGCTAAACTAAACCAAATATAAAACAAAACTTAAATAGCCAAAACTCAGTCCACCAAGCTGAAGATTCAAAGTGATAGAAATTGGGGGGAAGGGGGAACAAACTGGAAACTACAAATTTTCTGTTGCAGAAAATTAGAGCCCAAAGGGACTATCGTCATTAGCCAGACCACGCAGAGCAGAGGCCGTAAGATCGACTTAGTCTTTTTTCCTGCTGCGGTCAGGTCAGTTCTGGTTTACAGCATATCATGAAGAACTGATGTATAGGCTAGAAAAGAGCTGGAGATCCAGCTGATTTCCTGGATGAAAACCACCACCAGAAACACTGGCTCCATATCATCCTCCAGAGAGGATCACTATGAAGATATCATCCCAGAAATGCCAGTGTAACATCTTTCCAAAAAGGAGAGACAATAAACCCATACACAAGCCTCGTACTCCAGTAAGCAGAAGGGACAGCTCTTCGGGCCGGGTGAAGCTACGCAAGCTTTGCCACAGCAGAACACACCTGCAGAGCCTTACAAGTGTAATATACAAGAGAATTATCACAGTTCTGGACAGTGAACATCACCCTCAAGAGAGGCTCATCCTCTTGACTACCTACTCTTCTTTGTTTTTTCTCAGAGTAAACACTCAGAACAGGTAGCAGGAAGAAGTTTCCATGGAGGACAGAAGCAGCAAATGGGACTAAGATGAAACCCCTTTCTTGGACAAAACAGAATTTTGAAGAAGTCTCCTCCACACACCCTGGAATGGCATGATTAAGTAGCTCACCCCAAATCAGTTAAGATGGAGCGAGAAACATAGTACAAGCCTTAGACTCAAAACTCAATGTTTACATTTTCAGACCATGCCCAGTCTTGAAAACAGGCTGTGGGGACAGGGAAAGAGATAGAGGGAATTAAAAAACAAAGCCGAGAGAGAGGGAATTAAAAAACAAAGCCTTTCAGCATTCCTACTGAAGATCAAAAGGAGGACATTTTAACCAACATACTATTAAAATTCTTTCTTTGGTATGAGTGAAGTTTGCACTACCAATTACAGAAATATTCAAGCTCCTAAAACAACAGATGTCTCCTCCACCTCCCAGCCCGCTGCCTGTTTATGGCTGCAGAATGAAATTAAACAATATTCCAAATAACTCAACAGTTCCGCTGCCTCTGCTGTGAAACCGAGTTGCCTGAACAGCAGAACCTTTGACAATTGCTGATAGTTTATCATTCCCACAACCGGCCACAGACAGACTGTGCTGGTGCCATTAATGACTACCATGCAGAATTGCATCAAAAGCTGCAAAGTGACAGTGGTATGCACTAGTCTCCCTCAGGAAATAAAGGCCCAACAACGAACTGGACTAAGCTTATCACATCAACTCCAATTTAATGGCTAGCAACAGATTCAAAAGCTACAAAATGGGAGAAAAACTTCCTTACGCTTTCACAAGTAGAGCATGTCTCTGAAAAATCCTGTTTGACCAACCAATCAGTCAACACTGATCAATTACAAATAACAGGAGGCAGACCAGCACGCATATGCATCAAGTAGCTGAGGAATGTCTACACAACATTACAGTAGTGAGGTACACAAAATTAGAGGCCGGACTATAGCAATGACAGGACAGGAGGAAGAAAATGGAACATGGGAGGGAAAGCCCAAATCCTAATAGACGCTGTTGTTGCAAATAGCTATAAACAGCCACCAGGCAGTTGGCTGAGTAGTACCCCTCAGCCGCTGCAGAACGTCAGAGGTGGTTATAAGGGAGCCAGGACGGAAAAAAGAAGCAGCAAAAAACTGCACGATAGCAAGTTTTGTGTAACATGTGTCGAGTAAGCACAGGTAAACCACGAACCCCTTCAAGAAGGAACTCCTTCCACACAGAAGGAAAGCAGTAGGCACAAGTTTGTGACAGTTCAGAAAGGTCAGTCATAGCAAACTAATAAAAATGGCGCTGCGGCCTATCTGCTCTAACAGCAGCATGACTGGGAGGCATGAATACTGACGAAAGCTAGCTCAACAGTTGTAAAGCCACGCCAAGAGCGAGCCAGCGGCATACCCGACAATGTAAAACGGTAGACGCTACAGAAAACATTCCAGACGAACGATGACTGGAGGAGGCTGCACAGAATTTGGAAGCTGAAGTCTATAGCCTACCTTCCAATTTAAAAGCATATAATTTATCTGACATCTGTGCCTCAATTCAGTTGCTCTCAAACAGCCTCACATAAACTTCTGGTGACATTTTAATATTACAGTTTCCCATTCATCTACCTTGGGACGACAAATACAATGCGAGACCAAAGTCTGCACCCTTCCAGCTAGAGGCCAAGCAGAGAATCCTGGGGATCCCAAACAGCACTAAACAAATGTTCTGGCAACTGAGCCAAGCATACTGAACTTGCATTTTCCAGGCACAGTAAAAACAAATCTGTAAGTAATTCCAATGTCATCTTTTAACATGCTACCAGAAACGTCTAAGTTTTCAACGCACTTCCATTTCAGTCTTTGCACAGCACAAGACTGTGAGCTTTTCAAGACTTGTATTAAGAAGTTTCCCCCTCCTCATTCCACCGTAAAGCCATTATTAAAACAGGTTTAAAACTTGTTTTACAAGCCTCTCACCCAGAGAGGCGCTCACCCTCTACAGCTATTATTACTGGCAAAGCCTTTCCACCAGGTGGCAAACTGTCGAGAGAGCCGTAGACTAAAGTCAGTTCAGGCAAGAGAATCTTAACTGCAAACAAGAAAGTTTCTCTTAAAGACACTCAGTCAAGAGACAGCAGAGAGCAACAAGCACAATGGAGAATGGGGCTAAGAATGAGTTTAGGAATTTCTCAGCAGACTGCACATAAGGTAAGAGAGTTAACAAAAAGCACCTTCTAAACAGTTATTTTCACACCACCTGAGTTCTGGTGGGCCAGGATATCAGTAAGTTTTGTCAGCTGCAAAATTTCAAGAATTGCTGCACATTAGTGAGGTGGCCCAGGCTGCATATGGTCCACTCTGCCAGAGCGCTCAGCACAGCCACGCTGTTGTGCTACACCCGTTCCTCCTGCAGTCTCATACGGGATCCAAGGGAGGGGGTGGAAGAGATCCTATAGCTCCCTTACACAAGGCTTCTATATCCAAGAAGCTCAGTGCAGTCCACAGGTATTCAAAGCAGCATCCAATCACTTACTATTATCTGCCTTCTCCTTCAGCGTAACAAACACCACGAGCTATTTCTCAATGACAAAAAAAAAAAAAAAGCTTTTTCACTGTATTTACACTTATATACTACAATAAGGGAGGGAGAACTCACCTCCATTTGGAGAGCAGCAGTGTCCTGGTCGTAGTGTCCCATGATATTTGGAAAAAAAGTCATATTGTAAGTCATTCCTGAACATCTGGAAATAGTAATCGGTTCACATGTGAATAAACTGTGCCCTTGTACCCCAGTCAGAAGTAGGCTGCAAGTCACAAAGAACACGAGCGCTCCCATTTTGTCGAGATCCCCGATTTCAGCACATAGCTTCGGTCAGCGGTCACGCAGGCTGCCTCTTGCCAAGCAGAGGCATCTTCCCCTCCTCCTTCCGCAGGGAGACGGGAACCACGGGCGGTTCGGAAGGCGATCAGACTCCTCGCCGCTGCTCCGGCTATGTCCCCATCTTGCCCGATTTCGGGAAACCCCTTCCTTCGCTA